TATCATATGTTTACCTATTTTATTTTTGTATATATTATTTACCCTCTTTTTCGCGTCTGCATCTGCATCCTGTGTATTACCTATTGCATGCCCATTATTATTATTGTGGTTGGCAGCCGCAACTCCTGTAGCTAATTCGTGGCGTTTCGCATGTTGTACTTCAGCTTGTATGACGTCATAAGTACCAGCTTCGGAACGAGACAATGAAGAAGATTTGTCTGAGCCCAATGTCAAGTCGTATCGATTTTGTGGTGTTGCTACTTCGCCGCGCCTATCTAGTGACATATTGCCATTGATGCCATTGTATACATCTAAAATCGATATTAAACGGTTTAATATAGTTTATAAATGTTATATGTCTGTAAATGAATATAATATATTTATTAAAATAATTAGGATATTTAGAAAAATAAAACATATTTATATACATTTATATTTATATATTTGAGTAACCTTTTTGGACGATATACATATATTAGGTTAGGTTATTCTGGCTGACTGTATTGCTGGTGATTCCTGCCGATTGCAGATAGAACATTTTTAAAAATGTGGTAAGAAATTGCAGATATATACTTAAAGTTTTGCTTATAAAAGCATTTTGTAATTAAAAGGTGCGCCTTCAAATAATCGCGAATATACCATCTAAGGGAAAGCAATAGTCAAATTAATGGTTTGCAGAAAAAAAATTAGACGTATTTCTGTTGACGTATTTTTAAAGAGTAATAACTTTTTGGTATTTGCATTTAGCCATGCTTTTTTTGACTGATGATAGATTAATTCATTATTTTTGAATATTTACTTGTGATTAATGCTTAGGGTTAAAAATTTTTGCAAAACAAAAGATGGAAATTTAAAATTAAATTTAATAAAAATTAATATGATAAATGAGAAATTCGATACAGACATATTAAAATACTTGTGGTGCCAAAAATTGTTTAAGAGGAGAAGTGTTTGTAGTTCAAATGAATACTTAATAGTCGAAAATCAGGCCTATTTTGTTTTACAAAAAAAGTTAAAGTAACACTAGAATAAATGTATCATTCTTGAAGGAGAGTATTTTGATGAACAAAGTTTTTAAAATAATATAAAATAAAAGATTAAGCTCCAGCAAAAATATTTTTTTTACTAGAACGAACAATTATTGAGTAATATATTAAATCATTTCTTCTTGCGACAAATAACAAATAATTAAAATATATGTATGCATATTAATCTTAAGATCTATGAAGCAGAAGAATAGATTAGTGTCTGTAAACGGGAGCAATATTTCACAATAGCATTGCCAGAGAAAAAATATTGCTTATGGCATAAGTTGAGTTGATTTGTTGATGCTTTTTAAGATATAAAGATGTAATACCTGTTCCCATTGCAGCTAAATCAAATCATATTTGGCCGTTTCCATTGGCATTAGTTGATTTATGCATGTAAGAGAGCTTTGTGTCAGAAAGTCCTGTCAAAGTTCTAAGAGGGCTTATATTTGTTTACATTTTAATTGTTAGCAGATAATATTTAGTTTCGTGCTGTAAGCAAAAATTAATTAATTGATCGTAGATAACGAAGAAAATGCAAAAAGTTTTGCGTATAATATTTATTTATAAAAAATAAACATTTCAAGAAACTCTTATCTCTTGTTTGTTTTTTGTTTATTTAATTTTGGGTCATGTGTCAAATTTTAAACATTTTCCTTTCGGAAAACATATTTTGCAATGTTACATTCGATATTTTTATATAATATCCCTTAATTAATTTTTAATTAAGTTGGAAAGCACAAAAGCTCTTTATACTGTGAATCAACTTCATTAGCGACGTAATTATAATTAACAAATAAACTGCTTTAGTGAAGGCGAATAGCAGCAGCTGTCAGAGTTCAATTTTATTAGAGACCTAATTATAATTAGGTTCAATTTCAATCATTTTCCTTTTGAGACATATATTTTGCAATGTTATATTCGACATTTTTGATATAATTTTTCCCTTAATTTATTCTTAATTAAGTTGGAAAGATCAAAAGCTCGAAAGCTTTTTATACCGCGCTTTAATGAAGGTAAATGGCAGCAACTGTCAGAGACACTTTCACGTACAATGGAATGTAATATAGCAATTCTTTCAATTCTTAATGATGCTCTTAATTAGTTCTGTTCATAAAAATTTTCAGTATATGCTTACCTCTATTAAATTGTAGTCATATTCATATTCAATTCAAAAAATACATTTTTATAATCGATTAATGAATTTTTTTATTTAATTTCTTCTTTAATTTTTTTTAATGCTTTTTGGTATTTTATTAAGTTTCAGTAACCATTATATATTTAAAAATGATTTTAAAATGTACTGGATTTAAATATTTTCTCATATAATTTAAAACATTGTTTCGAGTTTCAAAGAATTTTAGTTTCTTTTTTCTTTTTGAACTGTGTATATATTTGAAATGATTTTAAATTTTAATTTTTTATATTAAACCTAAATTTTTTAGCATAACATAACCTAAAAATACTTTATAAACATTTAAGTGTTTAAATTTAAATTTTTAATAAAAATTTAATTTTTTTTATTTTTATTTTTTAAATAAAAAATCTATAAAACGAAATGAGATTCAAAAAACTGGAATCATTGACACGTAAATTACAAGAAGCACATTAATTGTACTTAAGTGCTTAACGCTTTTAAATTTGACACATAAAATTACAATTTTAATAATGACATTAACAACCATAGACTAACCTAATTTTACATTGTATAAATAAGAAATATTATATCAATTTTAATCATAAACATATTAAAAAAATTTGTCGAAAATTAATTTAATTTGACTTTGACTCGCGTTAATAATATTTATTTGATGCAGTATTATTACCGCTGCAGTTTGTGGCAAGTGGGGAATAGTAAAATATTGTAAATGTACAGTGGTGAGTTCAATTTTAATAATTGGTGAATTCTTAACTTATCTTTTATCTTTTTCAGTTGCATACATCGGATACAAAAGAATACCATTAGGTGTAAATGTATTCAGGCATAATTTAAATTATTAATAGATAATATATTTAAATAATATTTTATGACAAAAAAGCTTAAAGACTTCTTTGACATTTATTTTTCATTCATTTTTAAGCGTTAATTAAACGTAATTATTTTTAAATTAATAATGTTGCAGGTTTAATACATTTTCAACCATTATCTTAAACAAAATTATCTTGCTATATACTTTAACTGATTCTAGAAGAATTTTTTTTCATTTAAAAGAAACAAAGTATAAAAGTTCACCGCTTTTTGAACAAAGGATATAAATTCAATATTTACCTTTTTAAACTATTCACCAAATTACGCTCTTTTTTTTAAGTTGATATAATAATGCGTATATTAATTACATTTTTTTGACACTTGAAATGAAAAAAATATAACTTGAATATTGGCACAAGTATGAATTTTACTAAACACGGATTTGATTTTTTTTGGATTTTGTAAATATAGTCTTTAACAATAAATTTTGATTTTTTTATATATACTCGTATCAAACTAATAAAAGTAAAGTTCTTACGCTAATATTTAAATTAGAAAACTTAACTTAAGTCGTTATGTTTTATAATATTCAATGTCACCACATGATGTTCTAAGATTATTTGGTCACTAAGTTGAATAACATTTTGACACTACACTTTTAAGGTGAATTTGAATACATATAAAATAAAAAAATATATAAAAATATTACTTATAAAGTTGCTTTTGGCCCAGTAAAAATAAAAATATCTTAATTAATAGTTATATGTATCTTTGCAAGATTATATATGTAATCTAACATTTGCAGTTAGAAGCTTTCTAGATAAAACAAAAAGAACTGACTTATAATATAACTGTGTATGATTTTATAAGTTTTATAGGGGAAGAATAGAATTTGAGAATAAGAACATACTATAAAGATATTAGCACAATTGATTGAGAATTAAACATAAAAATGACAAAATAGTTATAAACGCGAGTAATTGAGGCTAAAATTCTTAAAAAATACAATAAAATTCACATAACTGATTATCTGCTTAGCTGATTATTATGAAAATCAGAACCATACTAAAGAGTTTACTTGAACATATTGTACATTGTACATTGTTGTACATTGTTATGTTGAAAAATATTTATTTAAAAAAACTTTTATTTTAAAGTTAGGGGTAGATACACTGTATCTACTAATTGTAAACTCATTAGGCAGCAAAAAAAGCAGATATCTTTTAAGAATAATGTTTATAGATGTTATATTTAAAATAATTATGTCCCCTATTTTAGGTAAAAGTTTATTATATATTGCATTGTGTATAAAATAAGTTAACTATGGTAAATAAAATTATTATTGTTATTTAAACAATGTATTCATAATTAATCATTAAAATAATAATTAAAATATTGTAAATTGTTGTAATTATCTTTGTAGATCGTGATCATGGTAATGAGAGTCGAAATATAAAATATAAAAAATAAATTAAACGTTGAATTATTTAACAAAAAGTGACCTATAGCCGGATTAAAAAATATGTAGAAATCATAATAAAAAAACAAGTCGATAAATTAATTCAAAAATTTAATATCTTATGTTATTATGTATTCTTCTACTAGAGATTGCCATCGTTCTATGATTTTTTCTAAATTTTTTATGATTAATATTCTACATAGTTTAACTTCTTTTAACCTAATGGAAGTGAAATAAATTTAAATGCTTTAGAATATTACAACAAATTATTCTATATGTAATACTTATTTTTAGTTAAGAATTACTGTTAAGAGAATGACTTTTGAAATTTTTCTCTTAACTTTATTCATTCTCTTTAAGACATTGTACATTGGCACAAAAACATTTGAACTTAGAATTTATTTATTATTTTATTTTCACATATAATTTTTGTAGTTCGCAACTATAATATAAATTTTAGAATTAAATTTTGTATTTTTAAATTTTTTTTATATAATTGTTTTTTTTTTTTTTGTTTTTTTTATTATAATTATTCGATGAATAAACAGTGCATTTAAAATTTAACAATTTTATACCTTATTTTTGACAATATTTTTAAGACCGTTTGTGAATGTTTTTTGCTTAGTAAGAAATAAGAAATAATTTTCGTTCGTTTTAAAATTTAAATTCAACCTCTTAATCCCATAATTAATTAATTTATAAATTTAATTATTAACTAGGTAATTAATTAATTATTAGGACAAATCACCAACCAACAACAACTTAAACTAATAACAAATTGTTCATTTTCTCCCTTAATATTTTCTCTCGTATTCGTTCGTTCGTTCACTCATAAAAGCGAAATTTATGGTTAAACTAAGAGTATACTATCATTCAACGAGTAAGCATAATAGCGAGTAACATTTAAACGAGTTAAATAATGTATCTGAAGCAAATATTTTATTTTTGGGTATTTTCGATTTTGTATCGTAAATCAGTCTCAATTAAAGAAGATCGGTTTGGATCAGTTGGAAGTACACGTAAATAAGAAATTTCCATCGACGAAATAAATGCGTTTTGGTATGAGGATTTTAGTTACGATTTAAATACAACACACGAATTATAAAGAGGAACGTTAAAAGTTTTCGTGTTTTTAGTATTGCAAAATTTAAAATTAACTTAATACAATAAAAGCTTATTCTTGTATGTTTAAGTTAAGCTCTTTAGTGTATAGACACTTTGTTTTGATTATACATTAGTAGCAGTTAACTTTTATGTTAAATATATTGAAAACATTTGTGTTAAAATCGGTTATACTTCTTATTGATCACTTAACTCTTCTGAGTCGTCAAATTTTGGTGGAGGATCAACTCTTATATCTAAACCACAGGAATAGCGTTCATATTCAATTGGTTCGTTTTCATAATCTGATAGGAAATCCGGGTATGGTAACTCCATGTCGGTGCCGTATCTGTTGCGAGTTATTGTTGTGCGACGTATTGTACCCGTATCTTTCATAAAGCCACTACTATCCTCACTGGAATTAGCCAAATCGTCAGATAAACCAGCCTTTGATTCCACTTCACTTTCTTCCGGATTGCAGTATGCACGTCCATGATATTGTGCAGAAGTACCTGCAGACATTGAGTCCTCACGTTTAAGTTGACGTTTTTTAGTGCGTGCTGGTTTTACTGGTTGACCACTTGTCGGTGGCATTGGATGATTTGCTGGAGCTGGTTTATTTGTAAAACTGCTATGTACAGTTGGCTGAACTTTTTGTTGGTACATAGGATTCGTAATATGACCTAAACGATCGTAACGAGGAAAACCCATTTCATCCACATTATCTGTCATATCAAGACTCTCAAATTTATTTGATGTAGTGTATGCAGCGCCAGAATAATGCGGATAATCCTCATATTCATCGGTTTCTTGTTCATGTTCTAATTCTTCATCAAATTCTAAATAGTTATCTTCTGGTCTGTAAGATAGATCTGATCCTGATTCCATTTCTGGTAAATAACCCTCAGAACATTCAGAACTCTCTTGTTCGACTAAAGTGCGCTCTGTTGTGGTTCGTATACGCCTCGTAGTTACTTGGCGTTTCTTACGATAACCGCGACTACGCAATTTAGCATCCTGTGTGCGTATATCCATGGAACTGTCGGTATCATTGCCACTTGGTGGGCTCTTAATGACGTTAACACGTGTTATTGAACTTTTCCGTGGTGGCTTTTGTATTAGTTGATTTGGTGGTGACTCTGAGCTTAAGCTACTGGAATAATACGGTGAACATTTAATTAATTTCTCAGCACGTTGTGGTAGCATTGGTGAAGAAGTTTCTGTGCTTGTGGTATTTTCACTGTTGATTGTAGTCGTTGTTGTTGTGGCAGAAGATGCGCCGCTAGTGCCGCCTCCGAGAGAAGATGATTCTTCGTCGATACGCGGTGGCATTGATTCCTGTGAAGATTGTTGTGATTTCGATAGCATATGCTCATGAAATGAACTCGATTGACGCAATTTATTTGTTTTATATTCACGTATTTGTGATTTTGAAAGCGTTTTGTCATCATAGCTATGATGTTTAGCTAGCGGCTTTTCAGGCGGTTGACCTACTGTTTTTGGTAAGTCATTTGGTGAAGTTATTGGTGGTACATGTGGTATTGGTGGTGGCACCTTACTTATGATTGGTTTTACTTCTTCTACAGTTGTACTTTCAGCAGCTTCTGCTGCTGCTGCTGCAGCTTCAGCAACACCAGCAGTTTGCATATGTTTAAGCAAAGCTTGCATTAGTGGTCGTGTTACTTTCGGTTTTATGGGGGGCTGTGGCGCTTTAGGCTTTGTTGATGGATGTGGCGCTTTTGTTCTTTGTGTACTGGATTGTGGAGTTTGTGTTTGTGTAGTAGATGTTACATGTAAAGGTACAAAGTCTTGACTTTGATAACGTTCTGTCAATTTTTCACTAGGTGCATACAATCGTTCAACAAAAGGAGCTTCGCTTTCTGATGAAATATCTTGACTCTGATATAGTTTGGACATCATTTCAAGAGAACGCCGTTTACGTGCTGCTCCTGAGGTTTCTGGTAAACTTTCTTTTGCATCAATACTACTTAAGCGTTGTTGCAATCCTTGTTTGGGCGGTGAAGTGCGTTGTACTAAGTCTTCAGTGCTTGTGCGATTGTTTCCATTACTACCACTTCTACGATGTATTTGTGGTAACGAACCACGTTTTTCTTCAGTCGGGGATTTTTTTGTTAGTAAACGTGGTTGTTTTAGTGGCACATAATCAATGTAACTGCTACGCCTATTACCACGTTGATCAACTCCTTGACCAGAACAATCTCCTTGCGTAGCTGTCACTAATGTGCGACTACTAGATGTGGACCATTCTGTTATTGTGTGTGCCATTTCAGTCAAAGTCAGAGTTGTGTCATCACTTTTAGTTGCAGAAGTTGTTTCCGAAACTTTGTCAGTTTCAGAATTTGAAAGAATATCATACCGTAGACCATCTGAAGAACCATTATCACCAGAGAACTTATTTGAAAAACTTCCACTTTGTTCATTTAAACTTTCAGCAGACTTATTAATTGAACTCATACTAGATTTAGTATGATTAGATTTTTCACTTTTAGCACAAGAGTGTGTAGAGACAGCAGACAAACTGTCAGAACCTGATAGATTTGCGTATTGTCTTACTGTGTTTGTACCAGTAGACCATTCCGATATACTTAAGCCAATAGAAGTGTCTTCAGAGTGAGAGCTATGTGTGCATTTCTTTTGTTGCAGACCCATTCGTACGGTGCCATCTAAATCAGTTCCAATTGAACTTGTTTCTTCTTCAGAATGACTTGAATGACTGCATTTTTTACATGAGCCTGTGCTTAGACGAGTTTCGTAATTTCGTCTTACTGTAGTTTGATCATCCATAAATGTTCCACCAGAAGTTGAAAGTATATCATCGATCGATGTATCAGAGTTATTAGAACCTCTCGATAATTTCCGCAAAAATTCATTCGTACGAGTTTCATCTGGGGACAATTGAACTTTAACTGTTCCAGGCATAAAAACATCGTCTCCCGAAAATAGTTCATCTTCTGATATAGGCGAACGTGTAACTGGTGAACGAGTTGGTTGAGATACAATTACCGACTCTGGACTAGAAGTTTTTTGCAAAGGACTACCTTTTTGCGATTTAGGAGAAGATGTACAAGTCACGTTAAAGGAAGAAGACAAGCACGATGCAGCACTAAGTGTAGAGCTTAGGCAAGTTGTTGTGTCATGAGCAATTTCATCACTGCCAAAATCTTTATCATCAAAAGCTATAGACATAAGATAAGCTGTGTCTTCATATGGTAATATTTTTGTTGGCTCCGAAGGTGAAATTGGAAATTCTTCTTCAATCTGTGAATGAGTGTCATCGGTATGATCTGTTGCAGTAAAGGACTCTATCATGACCTGATCAGCGTTTTGTACCTCAGTTGTATAATATGTTTCTATATTTTCTATAATAATTGGCGCTTCAATAGTGCTTGAAGGTGGAGAAGGCCAATCTTGTGAATCTTGTGATTGAAATGACATACTTGCTTTCCAACAGAATGTTTTTGGCACGGGTTTATCTAAATCTGGCATTGCATAAATAGATTCCACTGGTTTAACCGGCACGTGATCAAAAGGAATTTCAGGTAAAGGCCAATCCTCAGAATCTTGACTACCAGCATTAGAAAGGCATAGTAATGTATGTTTATTACCATCTTGTTGTTCTTCTACTTGGGTTACAGAAAATCGTCCAGTGACTACTGTTGGCGATTTCGGCTCATTAAAACTGCCAATACTTGACAAACGATCACCTGTTGCAGAATCGCAAGGTATTTCTGGCATTTCAGCTGAAGTGCGTCTATCAGCATCAGATATATAGGCCAAATTTGTATTACTGCGAGAGTCAGAACTTAAGCTAGGCTGATGATCAGTTGAGCCAACTGATTCATCTCGCATGCTAACAGAATGCGTAGAAGCTTTACTGACATCATCTTCCATACTTGATTTTTCAGAAGCTGTACTGCGTTCAGAGATTCTAGAAAGCGTTCTGCCTAGGGTAAATCCTGTACTGTAACCTATAATATCAGTTGGATTCACACCAATGCCACTTAATGAACTAGTCATGGCTGGATAACCAAACGTAGTCGGAAAATCATTAAGTTCGTCCTGAAAACTTGTATCACTTTCTTTTTGTTCATCGGGTGATTGTTCTTTTAAATCACTATCAGAAGAATCACGTAATGGATTATTTGCATCATAACGTTCATAACCATCTGTTTCAATATGATGCCAAGGGTCATCAGTGCTCGAACTTCCGGAACTTTCAATAGGAAAAGGTTTCCAAGTTGATTGCAGCTCTTTCTGATGAAGCTCACCACGACGCTGTGCTGCTCCCATTGAACCAGAACTACTCTCAGTTTCAAATGATCCACGCGATTCTACACTCAATGAACCTTTAGAGTCAAAGCTGGACTTAGATTCTTGTGAACTTTTATCACTACCAGATCTAGCTAGCTCTTTATTTCCATCTGCTTTCGTGACAGCTAATTTTTTGCCTGCATTCGCACGTGCGGGTTTTTCAATCTTAGCTGGTTTTTTCGAACCGCCCGAGCTGGATTCGCTGTCTTCGTTACGTTGCAGCAATTTAGCTATTTTTTCTTCAATAGGATCAAGATACGATTCAGTGCTATTACCTAAATCGATTGGGCTTTGTTTTTCTAAAGTTGGAGTTGTTGGTTTTTTAATAACTATTTTAGGTTCATTGATTGTTATATTAGTAGGAGTTGTTACATTCGAACCGGTTGGACTTATAGTTGGCGGTGTTGTGGCCACAGTTTTTGGTACGGTTATTGCTACACTTGTCACATCTAACTTTAGCATTTTTTGTTTAAGTTCGAGGCATTTCTTTTCCTCAATGTCGCCAAAATCTTGTGAAATTCCTAATGGCCTTGCAATAGAGCAACTAACACTTGATTCTTCATCGACTGAACTCTTTTCTTTACCACCACTTACTGATAAACTCCAGTCTTGCCGTTCACCACGGTGTGGACTTACGTCCTTTTCACCACTAGTCCATGAGTCAGAACTTTTTGATTTATCACTTTGCTTTTCAAGACTCGGTTTTTTCTTTATTTCTCCTTTGTCAGTTTGCTTTTCAAAAGTTTCTAAAACTGATTTCTCAATCATGGGACTAGTATTTGGTGGTGTAATAAGAATATTTAGATCAGATGTAGGTGTGACGCAGTTAGAATACTCTAAAGGACCAGCATCTTCTAAAGTGGCTTGTGTTTCTAATATATTACGATCAGGTTCTAAAGTTCGCGGTTCATTGTCTGAAGTATCTGAACCTACAAACTCATCGCATTCAAGTGTCATCCATGAACCAGTTTCATCACTTCTACTACGATCTAAACTTAACCGATTAGTGTCCAAACGCGACACTTTTAAATGCCTACATTCTCCTGAATGATCATCCTCTTCAATTGACGGTTCTTCACATTCAATAGTTGGAACACGATGTGGATAGCTTTCAGGAGCAGGTACAGGTGATTTGCTAAGTGGTGAATGGCTATCATCTACAGAAACAAATGAATCAAGACTATCCGCTGTAGATGCTTTACGACTGTAGGCACCATCGCTGTCTTTAGTATCTTCGGAAGGCAAGGACCGTTTTAAAATTTCTAATGACCGACGTTCCGAAATAACTGCTTGCATATCAATATCTTCTTGTACGTTATATTGATGCGCGAACATACGACGATCTCCAACGGCGCTGCGAATGATCGGCTTTTCTTCAATTTTTTTAGTTTCTGTTTGACTTGGCTTTTTATCGTCCAAACTTCTAGCTTTAACATCTGCACCTAAATAATGATGTTCTGCCGTTTTTTCATAGCTGCTGGATTTTCCATCAATTTTCTTATGCACAACGCTGCCTTCTATTTTTTGTTTTATTTCTTGGCTTTTAGCAATCTTCTTTGGTGATTTAATAACCATATCATCAGGGACGTCAGATTTCTCCGATTCTTCAAATGACTTATTTCGATCTTCAAAGCTACGATTTGCTTTATCAAGTTTTTCAGAACTACGTCCTTCATCAAAGCTACGACTAAATTTAACTAGTGAAGTATCTAATTTTCGCGGCGCTTTTGCAATTAAAACATGATCCTCAGCTTTGCTCTTAAATTCGGTTTCAATTATAATTTTATCACCATCGGTTTTAACGTGAATTTTATCTTCCGGTGCTGGAAAAGGTGGTAACGTGTCCTTAACTGGACTAAGCATGGTAATGGTTTGTTTCATAGCAGACTCATATAATTTTTGCTGTCGCTCTTTACGTTTTGCAATATCTGCTTCAGTTTCTTCTTGAGATTTACTTTTATCTTTACTTAACCTACGTGTTTCTATAGAACGAGGTCTCTCTTTAGGGCTGGACTTTTTACCTTTACCGTCTTTCGATTTTATATCGTCAATACTTGTTCGTCTGGATTCTGGCCGGCTACGAGATATGCCTGGCTTTATTTTAAAAGGATCAATACCTTTTGAACTAGTTTTTAGTTTACCTTTACCGGTACTTTCTATGCTACTTGCACGAGAAACACCAGGAGAAGTTTTTCGTGAACTATTTGCCGAACTGTAAGGTGACCAATCAGTAAATCTATATTTTGGTATTTCCAAGATTAGATGATCACCACTTTTCAATTTCATTTTGGATTTTTTTTTGTCTTTTATTTTGACTCCTTGCAAAGCAATTTTTTCTATATATTTAAGTTGATTTAAAAGCTCCATTTCCTCACTATCTATAGTAACAGCGCTTAGCAATGAATCCTTACCTGCAGTCACATAACTGCTTTGAGTTGGTATTGAGCCAGCACAAGAATGTATACTATCTACTGTGTCTTCATCTTGTTGCTCTATTTCACGTCCCAATGACTTTTCCTCTAAGATTTCTGCTTCTTCTTCGAAACCAACAGTATCATCTTTAGATGAAAAAGCATTCATAGGTGGCAATCTATGTAGTGAAATCACGGGAGTATCCAAGCTCTTTGTACGTCGTTCGCCTGTTGGTGAATCTTGTGTAGACTTTTGACGCTGCAATGATGCAGAACCTTCAGATAGATTTAAACGAGCATGTGCAAATAATATAGGCGCATGTCCCTTCGAACGCATAACAATTGATGAGTCAATAATTTCTTCAATTAATTTAACTTTCGATTTTGGAAATTCTGTACGAGGTGAAGATTTCTTCTTAAGTGTATAATCGATGTCAGATTCGGTAATTTTTTCTTCATGACAAGTTTCGTAAATATCATCATTACTGCGAAAGAATTCAGCATGTTCAAGTATCGGAGATGGTATATTTTCATTTCGTTGGTAGTCGTTAGTGCATTCATCTGCACGACGCATGGGCACATGAGGTTCATCTTCTGAAGATGGAATTGATATGGAACGTTCGGATATACGTCGCAATTCAGTGGCATTAGCATATTGGGGATCTAGTTTTTGTGTATGATAACGGCTTTCTAGTTCTGCAAGACGTCGGCATTGCGGCGGTGAACCTTCTATTTCTGTCGAGCTCATAGTCTGTCCGCGACCCCAAGCAGCTGATATTAATCTACTCTGCTCAATGCGTAAAATTGGTTCAATTTCTTTGCGTGATTGCGGTGGTGAAAATTCAAGTCTAGCTGGTATTGCCTCAGCTGAACCAAATACGTCATCCGAATCAAGGCTTTCATCATCTGATGAAAACGATGTTATGCGAGTTTTAGCTTTCTTCGGTTTACTTGATATTTTTGTCTTTGGTATAACTCTAGGTTTCACAACTTTTCGGGTGTTGGCTTGGAGTTCTTTACGCAAACTTTGTATTAGTTCAATTTGTTTTTGCTCTAACTTGTGCTTTTGATGTTGTATGCTTTCAGTGCGAGAACTCGTTGCGGAGTCACTTTCGATTTGGCTTAGTTTTTTGTTCAATTTTTCTAATAAAGATGGATCCATTTGTTTTGTTATATCTCGTTTTGGAGAGGATAATTCAATTGTTGGAATAGTCTTATCTATTTCCAGAGTAATAGGATCAACTTTAGAGAGATCAATATTTTGGGTAAAAAGAAATTCTTTAGTTTCTGCTGGTAATAAACTGTCTAATATTTCTGGTAAAAAGTCTGCTGCATTATTAGCTGCTGCTACAGTTTTTGCAAGATCTACTTTTGGCGATTTTGGTGATTTTGGCGATTTTGGAGACTTCGGTGATTTTGGCGATTTCGGTTTTGAATATTTTTTCTCACTTGGAGATGGCGCAGTACCATTCATCACATGACGTTTGTGCAAAACATATGGTATATCTTCTTTAAGTACTTTAGTGAACCGTCGTTCATAGTCTCTGAAGAAACTTTTTGGTAATTCAAAACCGGTTTTAGGTATATCAACCGGTACTATCGGTACATCATAGGACTTTGGAATTTCAAAATTACCATGTGCTTTGCATAACGGCGGAGCGCTTGGTATCTGCTTGTAAATGTAGTCTTCATCACTGGAATCAGCTGGTGTTAGATCAATTGATTTTTGATGCATCAACACATGACGACGTGAGTTACTGCCTAGTCGTGCTCGATTTGCTAGTGAGTTGGGATCACTTTTAGTGCGCTCAACAGTAGCATGCGCATAATTAAGTGGTACCATTATTGGATTGTATTCCTCGAAATGCGTTTTAGCAATTAACTCTTCTTTACGTGTTATTTTTTGTGTTACTGTACGTGATTGCTGCTTTTCAAATTCGGATATTAATTCTGGAGTTAATGGATATTCCGGACTTTGTTTAGTTTTCTCTTCTTTTACTTGGGTTTCCCACTGTTTGGAATAATTTTGTATGCATTCAATTCTATCTTGATCAAAACTAAATATATTTTCACTATCTGAACGACGGCGAAATTGTGAAATTTTACAGGATTGAGAATCGCTTCTTTTAATTGGAGCAGTTTGATCAATTGAACTATTTGTTTGAATTTCTTTTTCCTCGCGTTTTTTGCCACTTACTGGAGTCGAGCTGGAATCAGGAGATTTTGACCCAAATGATTTGGCATTCCTTTCAATTTCAACATTTTGCAAGCTGATTGAGTGGACTTTAGATGTTTTGTGTGTTTTGTTACTAGGAAAAGTGGAATATGTGTCGCGACTGTCATAAAATGAACTGTTGGCTGTTGAACTATGTGTATCCGACAACAAACAGTCATGACTTTTTACTTTTGGTCTTCCACATAGGCTTTCTGTTTCGGTACCTTCAACTGCATCATAATAATCGCTCTTAGATTCTTGACTGGATTGCGGAAATTTTTCATACTGTTCTTTTTTGTTTAAATGAGTGAAATTTTTACCTGTTGTGGTAGGCATTTCATAATTGCGACCAAGACAATCTCCAACTAGCGATTCCTTTGAATCTTGACTAGACGCAACAGATGTTCTACTTTTCGTAGTTTCACGAGATTTCTTGCTATCGGTGTGATATAAACTGTCACGTGATTTTTTGCTTAAGTCAGAAATACGTGAAATTTTGGTCTCATAAAGGTCACTACGACTTTCTTGACTGGAAGTTCTTGAAAGTGTTTCTTTAATTTTTTTATAAAAACTTCCATCAGATTTCACACATAATTTTTCACGGGGAAGATAACGTGGATCTTCTGAGTCCCAAATTTCGTTCATTATGTCAACAGCTGATTTAGATTTCACATCCATAGCCGAACGATATTTTTGTTGTTCCGACACAGATTCATCATCACTTGGTATGTAGTTGCCTGAATCAAGTGAACACGAACGCATGTGATCTTCAGATCTACGGCGACCACTAAAGAAATCTATATCGTATTTTTCAAGAAGTTCATAACTATCATGTGATATATCATCTTGAGAACCAGTATAATCAAAGTGATGCCCATAACCACGTCTGTTTTGATTTTCTTGTGCATTGTACGTGCTTCCAGGATAACTTGAAGAATACACTTTTGAATTAGGTAAAGGCGAAAAGTCTTGCGTAGCATCAATGGAATGATTTTTGGTTATATACATTGAATGCCTCGAGTCATCATATCGTGTTACAGGAGAGTCTATACGATTAAACGAGAGGAATTCCTTGTCAAAAGCAGTCATCGGTTTTGACTTTTCGCTTTCATAAAATGAAGAAAAATCATAAAGATCTTTACAGGAACTGCTTTTTAACCAGGATTCCTTCTCAACTTGGTCGTATATGTTCTCCTCTTCTTCGTACTGTTCTTTTTTGTATTGAGTAGTTGAATATAAATTCCCAGAAGAGATTTCATATTCAAGTTTTTCTGAAGATGTTTTAAATCGATCCAAAGGAGAATCAGCAGCGTTACGCTCTTCAGCGGAGTTTGTTATCTTATTATCATGATATAAAATATAATTATGCGGTATATTCGAAGCACCCTGTAAATTTCCAATTGAGTGATGTGTTATGTAATGACTATCATAAGAGTCTACAGAATCTACACCAGACAGTTCTGAATTTCGCGGTAAAGAATGTGTGTGTCGTGTACCATTACCAATACCTATACCAGATGCTGAGCTTTGGGAGTCCATAGAGGGAGTAAGATAATTTTCAGAATGTGCTAATTTTACATGATTTGTATTAGAATAACGTTTTGTACCGAAACCAGTACCAAAATATGATGATGAAGAATCTGATGGATGATTTAAGTCATTATGATACTGATAATTTAGACCAGAATAGTTACGCTCACTATCATATGAATTAACAAGCTGACGCATGTCGGGCATACCAATTTGTTTAGCACGTGTGTATTGCAAAATAGATTCATCAATAAATTCATCGCTAAAATGTTTTTCACGAGTTTTTGATTTGGTTTTTCGATTTACGGTAGCGTAAATATCATTTCGATCATTAAGATTTAAATTTTCGTTATTAGAAATTTTATTTTCCATTTTTGGTATACTAAATTCTGGATATTTATAATGTCCTATGTCATTAATGTCTGTATAAATAATGTTGTCGGTCTCGGTCTCAGTTGAATTATTATTATTAAGCAAGCACTGTTTAGACATCGAATAATTGGTACTGCTATAATGGACTGGGGTGGCAGTTTGCGATTGGGACTCCTGTGACAGAAGTTGCGGATGATGGACACCCCCCTGCGCTGATACCATATTCTCCCGATTGATGGTAGATGCCGTCAAGTCCGAATCCGCTTCCTCCTCGACTAATTCCTCCTCCTCCCCCAAATCCTCCTCCTGCTCCAATTCCATGGAGCTGCTGAGATCCACCGATAGACCCACTGAGTTGGTGGTGATAGTGTGGCTGATTGTATTGGTGCTGGTGTGCATGTGCTGCTGCGGCGACGCAGGGACAAACGCTTGGGATGCCACTGAGACTCGACGAGGGGTGTTGCTGCTGTATAAGTGGGACAAGTGGCTCAGACCTACGCCAGTAGTAAAAGATTAAATTAAATATACTATTAGGTTAGTTTAAGTTAACAAAAGAAGATGAATGACAGTTTTTCATGCTTTTCTTTCTCTAATACAAACCATAAATTTATTTTTATTTTATAAAATTATAATCACTGCAAATTAAACTTCATGCACAAAATTAAAGTTTTTTTTTTTAATACAAATTATCAAATTAAAATTTCACTACACACTTAAACACAATATATGTTTATATAAAGGCACACGTTACGAAATAATTTTCGTAAATGATTAAAACAAACCCGAAAAATATAATAGCGGGCAAAAATGGTAACTCATAAGGGAAGAGAATAATTTTGTCTGAACTCCATTGAACGCATAAGTTAAAAAATAGAATAATAATGAATAATAGAAATTTCTAAAATTGAAGAAATTAAATTAAATATATTTAATATCGTAAATAATATTCTAAAATTTAGTTAAAAATAATTGTTTAAATCTATTTTTAATAATAAATCATTAAAAAATATTTACATAAATAATATATAAAAATAACAAAAATGCTATGAAATAAATATTCGAACTTACCTAAATTGTGATCGTTTTGATATACATGACCCTGATCTTGAACGCGTAGATGGTGGCTGGGTGAAGTCCATGATTGCGGACCCTGAGGAGAGACAGAGCGGTTCGAATTCATTTGGTCCATACACGCTGCCGAGCGGTGTGGGTGTTCCCCCTCCGAGGTTGGCGATTCCGCTGCATAATTCTTCGTCTGATAAATCTCCACCTGGGCTGCTGTGACCTATTCAAAAATTATTATTTAAAAAATATGTAAATTCTTGTAACAAAAGAGAATTTTATAATTCATTTACTTGAGAACGCATGTGGTCTGTAGGATTGTCTTGTCGGCGATCCAAGGTATCCGCTGCCTTCTTCGTCAGAGAAGGCGTCATCGAGTCTTTGCATTGATTGCGATAATCCCAATCCGCTTTTATTAAAAAATATTTGTTTTTAAATATTGTTTTTAATAAAATTTTTAAATTAAATAATTGTTTACTTTCTAACTATAAATAAACTGTTTAGTCAAACTATAAATAATATGAACATATTTTTGAACAAAAATTAATTATAAAATAAAAATCATTTACAAATAAAATTAATAAATTAACAAATAAATACAAACCAGTGTCAATTGGGAGTAAGGGATTGGCTGAAATGCTGGAATTCACATACGTATGCGATTGACTTCGGCTACTAGCATTCAATGGCCCTTGCCGGAATGACTGAGACCTGCAGCAAAAGAAAAGACAAGAGGATACCACGTTTTTATTCTCATGCTTTTTAATTTAAATTTTAATTTAATTTTTTATTTATTTTTTTTTTTTTTAATTTAGAATTTAACTATTAGATTTTAGAAATGAATTTTTGCATTTTTATTTGTTTAAACATGAGCTTATTTTACATTTTTAAGAAAAACATTTAACTGGGGTTTCAGTGATATATAAACGCGATTTAAAATAACTGAAATAAAATTTAACAAAAAAAAATATTTTGACAAAATGAATAATTAAACATTCGTCTAGAATATGTTTACACATAATAACTACAACAAACTCTACTGAAAATATTTTTATAATCTATACAGTTTCTAAGTACATAGGGTTTTAAATTAAGCATTTTATAGTATTTAGGCATTTATATTTTATATCTAGAACTATAAAGAGAACTTATATATAATACTATATTGAATTTATAATTTGTATGTAATGAATTTTGTTGGTAGCATGTAAGTATAATAGCAGGTAATCAATCATAATTAATTTCATGATACTTAGGTAGAAGAAGAGTACTCAGATTAATAGCTGTTTATATTCAACAATCTGCCGAATAAATGGTTGAAAAGATTATGTACATTAACACGAAGATGACGCATTTACAAAAGTAAGAACATTGATTGCTTAGCTTTAAGAAATGGTATCACCTAAATGTTTTTGGATTCGGAATATACCAATACCAGGCCATAAATATAGTTGTTTTTATGCTAGATATCATCGAAATATTTAGACCAACACCCTGTTAATATACTTCTATTATTACATCTCTAAGTCCAGTCTCACATTTCAAAAGATATTATATTAATACTTCTAATTTATAGTTAAGAATTTTTGTAATATATCATTTCGTGTTGAAAAGTGGATAACATTGAGGAAATTTGTAATATACCATTCTATGAGTCACAAGAAATACATATACTTAAAATAATAAAGGAATTAAACACGAAAAAATCTATTTTAAAGTTAAAGAAAATTATATTGAAAATATGCTATAAGAAAACTTTACTTATACTAAACTTGGTAAAGTTGAACTTAGAGACTAATTTATTTCTGAGAAAGTTTGGTATAAATAATCAATAAGAAAAAAGCTGGTGTTACTGCAGTTATAAAGTTTCGAATGGTCTTAGCAATCAATAGAAATCAAATTGAATGCACATTTCATACATAAATGGCATATATATATATGGTAACTTCAAAGAATAGATATTGTTGACATCTTAAATGAAATCGGTAAGACTTAAGACAAATAGAGAGAGTATATATTCAAGGCGAAATTTACACATCAGTTATATTACATGTATGAAATATAATCAACAGAGTTAAGTTGAATGTTCTTTAACATATTTTGCATGTTATTGGTAACGTCAAAAAATTTTAATATTTTAAAATTAAAAATGAAAATGGATAGACCTGTTTAAGATCAGAAGAGATTATAAAAGACTTCACTAGTTATTATTCACAAGTGAATACCTAAAATTATAATTATCATCAGTTAATATGTTTAATGTTACTCTCTTACATTAAACATACAGTAGAAATTATTAATAACAAACTACTTAATGTAAATTGTAAATTAATTTATTAAGTAATGTTAGGTAGTTCAAAGAGGATAGGCTTTAGTATTAAAGGTTAGGTTATATTGGAGTGGTAATTTATGTACTAAAATTGAGTTGGGCACAAACAATGATCTCTTGTGATGCCATAAATGGGACACTATACAAAAGACCTAAAGGATCATCTTACAGCCTAAAGAATTTAACCCACGAACAGTATCCCTTTGAGAACGCATGCAGTGTTAAAAGTTGGTGAAGAAATATAAAATGATTTTCGTCGATTTTGCTTTACTCCCGAGTAAATTTAAATTTTGGAACGATTACATTACATATAAATCACACTTAAATAAAGTAATTATACTGTAGCTGAAAAATTCTTAAGAATTATCTAAAGACGTGTCTTAGAAAAATAATTATATACAATACATCCAATGTACTAAGCTACGATTTTGTGAATCAGGCAATAGGTTTTTAAGTAAATAAATTAAAATTACAAATAATACAATGATATTCATTATGCCATTAGAATAAAAGCATAAAGAGATAGAACTACTACTGATATCTTCAGTGTGAAGAATGGGTAAAGATTAAAAGATATTATTAAATACACATACTAGAATATGAATTTACATTAACAATTAGATAATGATATTATATATTACGAAATGTCGTCCATTTTTATAATAATATTCTTTAAAGGAATACATACACAAAGGAATTAGAATACTAGTTAATTGTAATATCAAAAATACAATTGATTATATTTTATCAAACAATATAATAATATAATGAACCATATGGCTTTCGTCAATTATCTCGTAGCAAAAAAGACGATTTTCCTATGCTGAAATCTGGTATACACACATACTAAACCGTCAATCGAAAAAACAATCTTGAACTATGACATTTTGTAAAAATTTAAAGGAAATAAAATGATCCGGAGTTGCAAATTAATATATCACGAGCACTTCTCCATGTTAAGGGTATTCTAAAATTTGTGTATGAAGTTTTAAATACTTAGAAAATTTTTGCAATCAGTAATTAACATTTAAGACCAAGACTAAATAAAAAGAAAAATACTGAAATATATTACTTTTTAGGAAATTAATGCAATTTTTAAACAGTAGATAGAATGACAAAGGTGGTAATAGTCTGGTGTAAGAAACAAACAGTCAAACGCCGCTTAACTCTCTCATGAAGGATTTAAGTAGCAAGAAATATTATATTTTCAATAACATATATTACAAATATATACTTTAATTTTATTATTAATAACACAATACTAATAATAATATAATATCTATTAGATCTACAGGTCTATTATTCTAGTGACTGAGTAGGTGAATCACCTGGAGCCGCTTATTAGCATAGGTTATTTAGTGCCGCTTTTCTCCCTTGCTGAAAACTTAACAAATATGTATGAGAGAGTCAGAAAGACCACAGACCACAGATCACAGAGCGAGACATGTTAAAGATTTTGCTTTGTAATACCTGACATGCAAACGAAAAAAAAGACTTATTCAAAAGAAATTCCATCTTCATTTGAAAAATATCATTATATAGGAAATTTGGTTTATTGGTTTATCGTGATTAAAGTATCACGATAATGAGAGGCTTCAAGTTCATTTAAATTAAATGAGATTTATTAGAGTATTAAAACTTATAAATATTTGATTGTTCCTTTTCTCAATATCACATTCTGATAAAAATCAATCTATCGAATTTTCAAGCATTTAAATATCCCTTATAAGATATTCAAAACGATGATACATAAAATTTATATTAGAATTATCAATGTTGAATTACTTGTTAAATAAATGAGGATTAAATTTAATATTAAAAATATTAAACCATTATCGTAAAACTAATACTATATAAAAAATTTATAAATTCTAGAAAATAGTCTAACATTTACTATTCTAAGTTATTTTATTGGTACACAATAAATTGGTTTGCATATAATTATTTGACAAAGTGAAAAAACGCTTTATAGATTAATATTAATAAAAATTATAAATCAAAAAATATAATAATAATATATAAATATTCACTAAAACAAAAAACTTTAAAAATTATAAAAATTTACATTTATTAGACATTTATTTACGTTCAAGTATTTAACAAATAATACGACTTACTACAACATGAATTAAAATACTTAATTAAACTAATTTGACTAAAAATGAAGTTTAAGTGCTCGATGAAATGAGCTTTAAATTAATGTAATTGTATAAAAATCTTTAATAAATAACAATTATGAATTTACACTACATAGACGATTAATGAGAACACTAAATTTGCTAAAGTGATGAAATGATTATCGGTAGAAAGTATCGCATACGAATATTTATCGATTATGTGTTTAGGTATTTATGAACAATGATATTAACGTAAAGCTAAAACGATTGCCAATCATTATTAAAAGGAAATAAACTGTTTTAGGAAAAAAATTAAAGGTAAATATATATATACAAAAATTAATATAAAAATAGAATAAAAAAATAAAATCTGAATATAAGTAAATGTTATACAATAGTTGTTAGATTATATTATTTGTTCATTTAAATTTATTTTTGTTTCTGTTTTTGTTTTTACATTTATTTTTATAAACCAATTAGTATAAAAATCCTCTTCTCTTTTCTAAGGCTTATTAGTTTTTTTTTCTCATTTTCTTTTTCCATTCTCAAACAAAATTAATGGGTGAAAAAAATTTGGAATAATATACTAAAAAGCTGTTTTAATATTTGTTGCTGTAAATTGGTAGCCAAGTAGGATATGTTTGTATTAAGACAAAAATTAAAATAGTAACTTTTTTCTTAAAAAAAAAAAATAAAATATATATATAAAATGTAAAAGTTTATGCAGATGATGTACGAAATGATTAAGTGAAATAAATAAAATAATAAGGTGAAATTACATTTATTTTAATAATATTATTAAAATACACAAATTTTGTTTTAAGTAATTGCTTATTGTGAATTTTGCAATACTTCAACATTTAGAACTCAAATTATTATTAATATAAATCATGTATATACTTTAATGCCGATGATAAAATTTTTTAATTAATAATTATTTAAGATGACCAACACAAGTTTAAAATATATCACGTTTTTTAATAAATATTAGCTCTGATTTTATCGCTATTAATATTGATTATTGACCCATGATTGGATCATTTAAAAATATTTTGTTATTGTATCTAATCTAAAAAACCAGACCATTAGCGCTCAGCGATCAAACTACAATAAACATCAAAATCATTTCTAAAGTAAAAATGATTTATTCAACACATACTGAATAAATCAATAGATATTCTTTTAAAAACATTATTTCAGTGAGCCCTTTCAAACAACTTCTTCATTTGTTGTGTTTAATTGGTATTTAGAAAAGCTTTTCGATTAGCTTCGACCGCTTACGAAAAAGTGCAAATCAAATCCAAAATGTCTTGTTGACTCACAAGAAACCGAAAGTTGTTCAGCTCGACATCGTTGTCTGATTCTACTGTGAAATCGCTCCAGCATAGGTACAAAATAATTCAGGACTTACTGAGTCAAAAACAAATGCAGTAAGATCAGCTCACAGATCGAAAATATTAGGACCATTATACAAACCATCATGAGGCGGTCTCTACATGAGACAAATTATAAAATATCGCTAAGCAAGATTGGACTGAGATGCTTTAAATAGTAGTGAAACGTTGCATATTTATACACACAACTCCACACTACGAAATATATTATATATATAAGCACAATATGGTATAACATTCTTTAACGGCCATATAGTTTCTGACTGTCTGACTATTGCAGTGTCTTTTAAGATCTAATGTTACATTATATAGTTATAGATTTTCTCCAAGTGCTGCCATGCTGTCGTGATATAATTTATAGACATAGAAATGTATTTATTATAGTATTACAGTGTCGCTCATTTTTTTTAAATTACTTAATGAATATGGTCTAAAAATGAATATGATCTTTCATTTTAAAATGAGCATTGGAACTGGAGAGGCTATTGAATTTAC